TGATCAAAACTTAAATCCCAAGGATCACGGCTGATTGGGTTTTGATGCACAGATGAAGATTATCTTGTAATTTCTTCACTTTATGTCGGATTCAGAACAAATACCCTACAGCACATTTTCTTTATTTTTTATGTATTATAGTTCACGATGGTAAAACAAACCTGAGCTAGTCTAAACTGAAAATGTTGAAAATCGGTCAGGGAACTCCACAGTGGTGCATCTCTGGCTGTAATCTGAGATGATTGCATTGTTGGGTTTGTTTGAACACCGTTTTATGACAGATGTCTATTTTTAGTTAGAGGTTATCTACAGTGCTTCCTTGAACATAATAGAAATTATCTGTGGGTTTCACAAAAACATGTTCAGGCACAATATCGTTCTTAGATAATGAGGTTTTCGTTTGGTTAGTTCTGTGTATTTTTTAGGACCCTGTTACTTTAAATCCAAAGACCTGCTGGCCATGCAGCCTACCTGCAGGGATGAAACCAGATGACCCAAAGTGCTGGAGATCTTTTTGGGTTGAAAGGTGACGGGTTTGGCTTGGCTGGGGTTTCTAGGTAACAGTGAAACGTGAATTATCAATCAGGAGGTTTTTGAAACGGCTCATTTTCTAGACACCAAAAAACATTAACTTTTTGCCAAAAGATTGTTTTTTATGGTCTTTTTGCGCTCAGGTTGTTTTCAGAAGTAGTTGAGACACCAGTGGAAGAATAAAAACATGTAAAAAGTTAATTTTGTTTTTGAAAGTCCCGTTTAAAAATGTCAAAGAGTGATTGTATCTCCTCTTATTTGAACAAACCAAGTTAAATAAACCAAAGCAGAATTTATTTTTAGGTTGCTGTCCTCTAAAATGCATAACACTACATCTAAAATGGAAATAGCTTATTTTACGTTTCGTTTTACATATTTCTCCATAAATGTTTTTGTTTTTTTTTTAAGTGGAGTTGCAGATTTATTTTCTTTGTTGCCTATTCAGACCGACTTTGTGAACAAAACTGGATCCAAAGTTATGAATGAAACGCCTTAAGAGACAGTTCAGTTTTCACCCTCCAGTCAGCCATAAACTCATTTATAAAAATATATTTTTTTATTTTGGTTTTGCTAATGAAAAGCAACAACTTTAAGCATCTCATTCCAATATTCCAGCCCGGTGCACACGAGGCATCTTTGATCCTTCATGTATATAAATAGAACCACTTTAATCCCTCATCGCATTCACAGCAGACTAGTTCAGCTCTTTGACCACCAATCAACACTTTTCCAACTCTCACTTCACCTTCCCTGCTTTCTCTGAGCTCTAATCACGAGCTTATGGCCTCTATAAGCTCTCAGCTGTGTGTGTGCGTGTGTGTGGTGTGTGTGTGTGTGTGCGTGTGTGTGTGTGTGTGTGTGTGTGTGTGTGTGTGTGTGTGTGTGTGTGTGTGTGTGTGTGTGTGTGTGTGTGTGTGCGTGCGTGCGTGTGTGTGTGTGCGTGCGTGCGTGTGTGTGCATCTTGACAGGGCTGCAAAGCAAGAGGGAAAAAGGTTACCTGTTCCTGACCAGCCTTAATGAGAGGCTTAAATCTGGTGTTCATTGAGTCCTCCGGCTCAGATGGAAGATGAGTGGCTTTTCCTTTTCATGCAGGAGGACTCTGAAAGCTCTCCGGCCTCAGAGCGCCGCCGCTCTGAGCTCGGATCAGCCAGCATGCGGCCTTTACTGTTTACATGATCTGCTTCTGATCAAATAAGACTGCTAGCAGATGAAGGCTCTTATCTTTGGGCAGCCTGCTGTCAGCATGCGACAAAGAAACCCCTCTGCACTGAACAAAATGAATTGTAAAGGCCGTGATCTTTTTTTGTGTTTTGTAATGATGCGTGATTTATTTGACGTTTTCTAGAATGCAGAAAAATACAACGGATCTGTATAAAACTATTTCACATTCTCCCAAACTTTAGTTTTATTGCGACTGAGTTCAGCAAGGAGAGCCAACAGGCTCATGATGGATGAATCTGGTACTGGATGTTCCTAAATGTTTCACATTTAGCAATTTGAATAATGTAAGAATAATGTGACGACTCTGGAGGAGCTGTAGAGATTCACAACTCAGGTGGAACAATCTGTGGTGTACGCTGCAGCTCTAACCTTAAGACAAGAGTGAAAAGGTTGTTAAATTATTTGAATCATCCAAAATAATTCACCATGGGTGTTTTTGTTTTGTTTTATGACTTCTCTTTCCTTTTGTTTATGCAACATATTCGGTTATTTAAAACCTGTTTTATGGCTAAATGATTATTTCCCTGTTCAAAACTACCTTTCAAGTAACTTTTCAGCAAGATATAGGAGCTTTTTTTACGTCAATAATCCCTTAATATTTATGAAAAGTTTTAATTTCATTCATAACGATGTTAAGACAAAATGATACATCTTGCTGAAATCTTACTTTGTCTCATTTCATGTGCACTAAGATATTTCCAGTAGAAACTCGACCACCAATACTTTGTATTTTTGCAGTGAAACCAGCATTTTACATTAACTTTTAAGACTATAATCTAAAATAAATAATTCAATATGTTGCATAAATAAAAGGAAACAAAAGTCTCACAAACAAAACCTAAAAAAAGAGAAAAAAAATACACATGGTGAATTATTTTGGATAATTCAAACACTGTAATTTATTTTTAAGTGTACTGAGAAATTTGCACTAAAAAATTAAACCAAAATCTTCCTGGTAAGCTTGTGTGTTTTTGCAGTGTGTGGGTTTAGCTGAAAGTCAGAGAACAATGGATAAACATCTTGAAATTTACGTTTTCGGCTCCCAAACTTGAGCCAACCCTGATGAAATGGTTAGAGAAAGAAGCCTCTTTGAGACGATAAGAAGACGGTCCTCACTGTCTTTATTTTGCTCTCTTGTTTGATCTTTAATGGCCAGGGCGACAGATTTCAAAATTACACGCAGGGCTAAAACCACTACCAAAACGTCCTGAATGATCAAAGGTGTCGCCGGCTCGGCCCGAGGCGGAGGCCCGCTGGAGCCCTGCAGCTGAACACATGAATAAGTAGATCAGAACCAGACGTGAAAGATTGTTCTTTCTGGGACGTAACTCTTTTAGTCGCAGCCTGGTGGGCTCTCCACAGTCCTGCCATGACAGAGAGCGATGGACGGTCCCTGCGCCTCTTATCGGAGCTGCTGCAGCGTCTGGCTGCAGAGACCCTTCTCTCATTTTCACTCACATACATGCAGACTTCTGCATTTCTGCTTCCTTGGTAATCGTATACAGCGTCATGCAGCTTTCTGTGGAGATTTCCATTCTTGTTTCTGCTAAATTTCCTCTAATTTGATCATATATGTCAAACGGCGTTGCTGTGTTGTACTTACTGCATGCAAGTGGTTCATTGTGCGTTGTTTAACATTCATAAATCTCCATTCTCAGATGATGTTTTCCGGATTGCATGTGTTCAGTCACATTTCCAGAATTCCTGAATTCATCATTGCAGGTTTTTCCTCCAAAAGCCGAATGTTTTGGTTGACTGCCTTTTTTCATTTTTCTTTCCCCTTATAAAAAGCGTGCATTCTCCTGGAACAGACCTTCCACCTCCCGTTCCCAATATAAATCATTATGACACTGTTGCTGGTATGGGTTTCCTTTATTGGACGTGTTTTTCCTTGTTTCTGTGCTCTGGCTGCACGAGCTAGTCAGCCTGCACCAGCGGATGAGATCACTCTTTATTCCAGAGTGTCATCTCCTTAGTTTCCTGCTCCTGATTGCTTGCCGGTGTTTTCCCTTGCTGATTGGGAGGCATAGCACACAAGAAGGGCAGAAAACACAGCATGAAGCAGTCATGTACTGCAAAAACACAAAACATTACCAAGTAATTTTGGTCCAGTTTCTACCAGAAATGTCTTAGTTTTGTCTTATTTTGAGTGTATTGACTTACAAATAACGTTTCAGCAAGATATAGGAGCTTCTTCTCAGTTAATAATTCATTAATATTCATGGAAAAGTTCCTAGTTTGATTATTTCACTAATAACAAGGCATTTTCAATCAATCACGGTATTTGTGTTGCAAATTTCAGCTGCAAGGCAGTTCAAAGTACTTCACAAAATAAAAGCACCAGTCAACAACTGAACAGCTGTTACATTGTCATGAATGCATCACCAAAATCATCAAATATGTTGATCAGTGTTTCATTTATTATGACTTAAAAGCAACTCTAAAGATGTGGGTTTTAGTCTAGATTTAAAGGAGCTCAGTTTTTCAGCTGATTTGCATGTTTCTGTAATTTTGTTCCAGATTTGTGGCGCATAGAAGCTGAATGCTGCTTTTCTATGTTCCTGGTACTTTATTAGTACTATAAAAAAATTATTGATTAAAAACAAGCTGCTATTTCTTTCTGAAAAGTTACTTTTATGTTGGTTTTGTCATATTTCAGGTGAGCTCAGATGTTTGCATTAATATCTGGACCAAAAATACTTTGAACGATTCTGTGTTTTTGCAGTGATGCTATTATTTCACTGCCGTTTATCAGCAGTTTCAGCCTTGGATCTTTTTTATGATTACGTTTTTGAAAAATTGAGTAAACGGCCCCAGATTTCTTTCATTTCGGGAGATTGATGATCAGCCGATTCTTACATGTGAAGACGATCTCATCAACCTTGGGAAAGATCTAGAAATCAACCACTGGCCCGTTTAGCTCTTCAGTTAGAGGTTTGACCCATAGACCGGCCCACCAGGTGTTTGCAGGTAACAATAGTCACCCACTGTTTCCATCTCAGCAACTTTCTTGCTGTATTTAGCAACATTTCTGACCAAAATTTGATTCGGTAGCACGTCATGCTTTTTAAAGATCGGAAATATCGTCCAGAAAACTTCAATTGGTGCACCCTTATCGAGCATTTATTTTGGTTTTAATGAGCTTGCTCTTAAAAATACACCAGATATTCTTGGTGTTCCCAGTTTCTTCTACTTCACTCTTTGTCCTGTGTCTGTTTTTTTAAATCTTTGCTCGTTTTGCCCCTCAGCGTTGCTGCGAGAGGAGGTGGTCCAGCTTCAGGAGGAGGTCCACCTGCTGCGGCAAATGAAGGACATGTTGAGCAAAGACCTGGAGGAGACACATGGCGGCTGCTCCGCCAACCTGCTGTCTGCCACCGAGCTCCGAGCCCAGCTTGGTGACAAGGAGACGGAGCTGGACCGCGCCAAGGAGGCCTTACAAGGTCAGGGGAGTCGCCTCGTCCAACACGCTCCTTTTGTTTCCAGCAAACACAGCTGGGGTTCAGAACCAACAGCTCTTCAGTGAAGGAGAGAATAACGGAGACAGTTTCTAAGAAATTTATTCACTGTAGCACCCAAAACTAACGTTTGCTGGAGGATAAACTGCAACATTATTATTGTTTTGAGACCATTTTCAAGTAATGTTGTATAATAATGCAGATTCAGCCTCTGAACTGGGAGACATTTTAAATATCTAAAATAAATCATGACCAAAAACTTTAAACAAAACAGGGATAAAAAATCATAACCATAAAAAAATGGTCTCTTTTATCAAAGAAGCTCTTCAAAAATATTAAGAATCAGAATAGAAATTATGAAGCTCATTTTAATTTATCATGTGATTAATTGTAATTGTTACCTAAAACTCTTCAAGTTAATTGTTTTTCTGGTGAATAACATGAAAGTTTTTCTGCTTCACAGTTTTTATTTGACCGTTTCTTTTTTAGAGGGTCATGATTACACAGCGTGTAACTACAATTATTTTTAATTTTAATTGTTTGATGGATTTTTTTTCTCTACACAGAACGAACAAGATAACTTACACTCTCAAATACACAAAAAGTCAGTTCAAGGGGAAAATTGGAATCTAAAATGCAGTTAATTTAAGGATGTTAATCCAAAATGACCTAAATTACAAAACCTTTAATCTGATTTAATCCCAGTCACTGTGGAAAATCAACCTTTGGTATGTAAATATGGAAACACAGAGTACTGAAGTAGGACCAGTAGTATACTGTCACTCTGTTTTTGTTTTTAAACATCCCTGAAGTTGTTGTTGTTTGTGTTAAAAGTCACAGTTTAATGCCTCATTATAATCACAAATAATAAGGCAGTATTGTGTTATTATTCTTTAACCCATCAAATAATGTTTCTGTATTTTAATATCTTTGTAGTTTTACTTTCAGAACAGAAACTAATATCAGTGCTGTTGTTTTAAAGTCATTATGATGAACATCCATGTTTGTTTCACTTCATTGACCTTTGACACGCCTCATTAGGAGTGAATGTAAATTACTGCCTGAATAATATGAAGAGTCTCTCATGTGACACTAGTTCTGTTCAGTTTGGTTTATTTACGCGACATCAGTTCACAACAAAAGTCATCAAGTATGAAGTGAATTGGATCAAAACTCGTTCGGATTTTACTCGTTCTTAGAGATTTTTACCGACATAAATCATGAATTTTCATTCATATCAGTGAGATCACCGGATCCTTTTCTTCTTATTCTTCCCTGCACTGCAAAAACAACAAATATTAGCAAGTATTTTTAGTCTAGTTTCTACTGCATATATCTGATTGCACTTGAATTAACACAAAACTAACTTATCAACAAAATATAGACTTGTTTTAAGTGAATAATTCCTTAATCTCTGAAAAAGTTTGTTACATTGGCAGATAAATTTACATATAACAAGACAATTTTCTTATTTTAGAAGTGGAATACTCTGCTAATGTAAATACAGCTGTGAAAAAATGAAGAGAGCGTTTAAAGTGATCAGTTTCTCTGATTTTAGTTTTTATAGTCTATGTTTGAGTAAAATGAACATAATTTTTTTATTCTATGAACCAATGACAACATTAAATGCCAAGCAAAATGTTATATTTATTTAAATGAGAAATGGTCAAAATAACAAAAAAGATGCAGTGCTTTCAGACCTCAAATAATGTAAAGAAAACAAGTGTATAATAATTTAGAAACAACAATATTAATGTTTTAACTCAGGAAGAGTTCAGAAATCAGTATTTGGTGGAATAATCATGAAGTAAATTGTTTTCCAGAGCTGGAGTATTTTTTTAATCAACATCAACAAATTATTTACTTGAAACAAGTCTTGCTGATACATCACTTTAATGTTAGTTTTGTTTTAAATCAAGCGCAATAAGTCATTGGCACTAGAAACTAGACTACAAATACTTAAATATGTTGTTTACAAAGAGGAAAAACAACCAAATGAGATGTTTGTGCTCGATGAAAGTGAAACTGGTTGACAGAAGCGGTGATTATCGGCGGTTTCCCTGGTTTCCAGTTCAGACTTCAGCAGGCCGCAGGTGCTGACCTGGAAGCCCGGTAACCGTCACCCGACTCCCGCAGAACAGGGTTGAGGGTTCCTGATCCCTGACAGCAGGAATGCACCTGGCAGTCTGTGGAGCAGCGGCTCGCTCCATGTTTTCTCTCTCTTTGCCACCTGTTGCTGCTGCTGAGCTGCTTCGTCTTGGTGTGAACCTGGGAAAAGACGATCAGATGTTTCCCTTCTGGTTGGGAATGAGTCTCGACTCGCTTTCTGAAGACGCTGCCTCCGATGAATCGAAGCGTCCAGCTGTGCCTCTTGTTTTCTGTGTTGATTACCTGATTCTTCTGGTGGACTTAAAAAGAAAAAAAAAAAAAAAAAAAACCCTGCAGATTTTCATTAACAGAAGGCGCAGCGCCACCCAGTGGCTTTCAGCTGCTTTTACACAACTTTATGAATGTCAGTCAAAAAGTAAAAAACGACAATAAAACAAATTATTATGTCAATTAACTTGTAATTTTATTGAATTTGTTCAAAAAGGAGCAAGATTAAACTCAAACATTTAACTCTCACCTCACCAGATAATCTTAAATTATTCCAAGATTGAGTGACACTTAAACCTCACATTTACTCAAGTTGCATCTGTCTTTGTTGGTGCTGCAGCTATGAAAGCGGACAGAAAGCGGCTAAAAGTGGAAAAATCAGAGCTGGTGAATCAGATGCAGCAGCTGTACACGACGCTGGAGAGCAGAGAGGAGCAGCTGAGGGAGTTCATACGAAACTACGACCAGCACAGAAAGGTAACAGCAGCCCAGCTCTGAAGTTAAACAAAAAAAATTTACACCCCTTTAAGTTTCCCACATTTTATTCACAAACTTTGGTGATTGTAGTTGACAGACCAACAGAAATGTGTTAAAAACTGTTCAAAATTCAAGAGATGATCCCTGAATTTATTTATAACCTGTGACAGAGTGTAAAATGTTATTATTACTGGTACTTTTCAGTCAATACTGAGGAATTATTTAGTAAACACAAGCTTCTGTACTTTGGTGAAAAGTTACTTGTGAATTAGTTTTGTCTCATCTCAGTTGTACTAAGATATTTGCACTAGAAACCAGATGAAAACACTTGGAATATTTTGTGTTTTTCCAGTGTGCAGCAACTTTACTGCATTTGTAGCTCCTGCAATAATTTGAAGCAGCTCCATCGTTAATCAGCGACTGCTCTGCATGTGTCTCTGCAGGAGAGCGAGGATGCGGTTAAAGTCCTGGCGAAGGAGAAGGATGTTCTGGAGCGGGAGAAATGGGACCTGAGGAGGCAAACCAAAGAATCCACGGAGCAGGCCAACATGCTGCGCTCTCAGATAGACATGAAGGAGAACAGGATTAAGGAGCTGGAGGCCGAGCTCACCATGGTGAGTCATGGTGAACATTAGCAGTCGCAGAGAAAACACGCCACCAGTTAAATATTCTGTCAGAATCCGTGAGATGTGAAAGTGGCGGCGGGACGGGTTCTGTGGAGAAGTTCCTCTGGTTAGCAGGAGGATGTGTGTGTTTTTGTTCTGCAGCGTGTTCAGCTGCCACTCTGAGCCATTAATCTCTCCTCCCGTCGCGAGTCGCAGCCGCCCACAGACCCTCACATCAAGCTGCACTGCAGATCTGATTTGTTGGCACATCGCCGTAGCTAAATATCATTCTGTCGACTCTTATTTCCTTCTCCCCCTCCGCTGGGTGCCACTAAGCGTTTCTGAAGATGGAAACGTTTAGAAAAAGCATGATGTACTTTTTGTTGGACGTATGTTGGATTCATAATATTCTTAAATAAAGAATGTCCACAAAAGTAATAAAATGAAGAGAATAAAGTCATATTACATTAACAAAGTTGTACAAGAATAAAGTCATATTATTCTGATAATATTCTGACTTCATTCTCGTATTATTGTCTTTTTCTTGATATAGTAGAATTTTATTCCCATATCTCCTAATATTCTGACTTTAATCTTGTCATTTTTGTTTTCTCTCTTTTTTATTTTTTCTTAGTATGGTCTGTTGTATGAAGTAGACTTAAATGATTAAACGTTAAACTGTTATTCTTTTATTTAAAGGTTTTATTTGTGTATTCAGTGCCTTGCAAACATGTAAATTCCCCTCATACTTTTTTATGTTTTGCAATGTTACAACAAACCTAAAACTTCAGATTTTATATCACAGATCAACAGAAGTTGTCAATTAATTTTAATAGTGAGATGTAGAAGCAACATGATTTATTTTACAGATAAAAATCTAAAGATCAGTGTGATATTCTTTAATATTCAACCTAATTCACTTTGATACTTCTCAGTTAAACCAGAGCAGAACATTATGGATAAAATAATATCCATTTGTTATAAGCTAAATAATCTCCCAGTGGAACGAGAACTTTTTCCGATCAATGTTAAGAAATTATTGACTTGAAACAATATCTCGTTTTAAAATATTGTGAATTAATTTTGTCTTATTTCAGTTGTACTAATATTTGCACTACAGTCTAGACTAAACTGGTTTTCTACTGAGGTTCTTGATCTTTGTCAGGAAGATAAGTTACACTGCAAAAACACAAAACCTTACAAAGTGTTTTTGTCTTGTCACCAGTGCAGACATCTTAATACACTTGAAAAGACAAAACTAACTGTCAAGTAACTCTTCACCAAAATATGAAGCTTGTTTCAAGTCAGTAGTTTTTAAATATTTCCTAAAAAAATACTAGATTCACTGTCAGATTATTTCACTTGTAATATGGGAAAAATGTATTGTTACAAGTTCAATAGAAAATATGACTTTTTTTGTAGATCTAAGTGAGGAAGGTTTCTCCAACTTGATGGATCTTTAAACTGAAATACACGACGAAAGATTTAATTTTTAATTCCTAAATATCTGATCAATATTCCTGAGACAATGCTAATTTTAGCATTGATTAGTCCCAATGCTAAAACTAAGCATTTCAGAGTTTGTGGGTTTCAAATCTGTGTCTGAAAGTAAAACTAAATAAAAATAAATTGCTGTGATGTTTGTGTGTCTTGGTTTTCCAGGCCAAGCAGTCTCTGGCCACGCTGACGAAAGACGTCCCCAAGCGTCACTCGCTGGTGGTGCAGCCGGAGCCGCTGGTGAACGGCAGTCAGGAGTGGGTGATGCAGGCCGACCTGCCGCTCACCGCCGCCATCCGTCAGAGCCAGCAGACGCTCTACCACGGACACAACGCCGACCGGCAGGGTAAGCGCCGCTCCGCTCCACCCTGCAGCACCGCCATCTTGCTTGGTGTTTCCGAACTAACAGAGGGCTTTCTGGAGGTTTCCTGAGCTAACTGTGGGGAATTTCCAATGTGTGTGTGTGGATGTAGCTGTGGTCAGGATCAGCCCCTGCCACACTCGCCAGCCGTCTGTGATCTCTGACGCCTCAGCAGCTGACGGGGACCGCTCGTCCACGCCCAGCGACATCAACTCGCCCCGTCATCGGACGCACTCCCTCTGTAACGTAAGAAATGCTCCAGTGACCCCAGTAATCCCAGTAGCCCCAGTAATCCCAGCTACGAGATTTTCTCTCTGCACTTGGTTTTTGTTGGTTTGTGTCTTTCTCTGTCCTGTCGGCTTGGTGGCGTCAGCCTGTCTGCTCAATAAGTGGTAATTCAGTTATTTTAAAGAAATATTTTGATTTCCAAGCTCTTTGAATTACCCAATCAAATATAAAGTTATGGTTTTATAACCTGCTGTAAATAACCTTTTTTTTAAAAACAATTTTTTTAATCCAAAGCATCAGTGAAAACTTGAGTAAAACACAGATAAGTTTAACGATCATAATTTAATCAAAGAAAAAGGCTTTTGAACAGGACCTATTTAGCAAAATTTACATTTTGCACATTTTTATGTTTCCATTTGGGTCTCGGTTTCAGTGAAACTGAATTAAAACAATTTAAACAAGAACGGGTTCAATATTTCCCGCACTGATCTAAAACCTGATCCACATTAATTAAACTCAGTCAATCCAATAACGTAATCAAAGATTTGTTAGAGCAATGAATTCAACTGAAGAAACAAACTTCATCAGAAATGTAGTTTTTAAATAGAAGTAGGCGATGAGGAAACTGCGTTTCCATTAACCATAAAATTGTACAAATGTAAATTATGAAAATGGAATCAATTATGAAATTGATTAATGGAAACAATTTTTTAAAACACATTTTTTTAGCAGAACATGATTTTTCAGCCAAATATTTTGCAAAATTGTAATAGAAACAAATTTTTTCACATCACATAAGTCCTATGACCAGCCACCGTATGTTACTACTGGCAGAAACCATGAAGAAGATGACAGGAAGTGTTTTTTTTCTGGACGATGCGCAGCTGGCTCCGCCAGAGCTCACAGCAGTTTAAAAAAAAATGTTTGTCATTCAAATGTATTAAATCTCTCCAGTAAAATCACTCACTACAATTTTGCTGCATATGTAGCTGCTCCCAGGTAGGCGGGGCTTGTTGCTGCAACGCCTGAATAAGACGCTAATGTCTCCTCTGATGATAGGTGATGAATATATTTCATGTAACTGTTTATATCCATGATTTTTAAATCATTAAAAATCATGGATATTTTTAAGTTATTTAATGGAAACACTCCAATTGCAAAATTGAGTTCTTTTCGACATCAGATGACAAACCCAGAATCAGCCTGTTACCCGGATTCATGAACATGAACAAAAACAAAAACGTTCACATCAAACTGAATTTAGTAGATGCTCGACGGTTTGTTTGTTGTTTTCACTGCATGTCTCCTGTCTCCGTCTCAGTCCATGGAAGACCTAGAAGACCAGAAGCGTAAGAAGAAGAAGGACAAGATGACTCTGGGATCTCTGTCCCGGGTTTTCACCCGAGGAAAGCAGCGCAAGTCACTGGACCCCGGTTTGTTTGATGGTACAGCCACCCCTGATTATTACATAGAGGAGGATGCCGACTGGTGAAGCTGAATGAGCGTGTGTGTGTGTGTGTGTGTGTGTGTGTGTGTGTGTGTGTGGTGTGCGCCTGTGTGTGTGTGTTACATGTGGACATCCCCATATTTTAACTGTGTGTGTCTGGAAGAAGGAAATGGATGAATTGTGATGAAAACAGAGACTGCTGTCGTCGTAAATGTACATTACACAACCCAAGAAAAATGTATGTTTGTAAATTAAATATATATATTTATAGTTGTACATGTATGCATATGTATATATGTTTACATGCATATAAATATATATACAGGGTTATTACAATGCGTAGACATGTTTATGCTGTATTATCTTCTAAATGTCTTCATGTTTTATGTTTTTTATAAATAGAAACTTGAAGGACTGCTGTTTATATGTACATATAGGAGCTATTGTGAAAAATAGTGTTTAAATATTAATGTTATCTGGGTTTTGTTACTCTATAGTTGCTTTCATCATGGTTTGCAGCATTTCTCCTTTTTTTGCCAGTTTTTAAGCCTTTTTCCTGCAACACATCAGGAAGCATTAGATGGAAGCTTTGGGAGTTTATGTTGATCTGATTCGTGTTCATTCATATTACACTGTGTGCAGCAGGGAGGGGTTTGAAGATCTCCTGCATTTTATACTGAAAATGTTTAGGGATGTTCCGATCTATCATTTCAGGTTCAGTATTTATCAATACCGAGTGAAACTTGAAGTGACCACCAACTTTGCTGCTGTTCCTTGTATCTACAGCTGTAAATACAAGGTTTTCCAAGTTCCACCATCTTGACATATTTAAAAACAGTAACAGAGCTGGACTTTTACTCTTCTTGTTTGTTCTGCTTTGCTATTAAAACCCCCCAAAATAACAAAAACATTGTTAGTGCTTGATTAGTTAAAGAAAATATCTACATTTAAAATTACAAATATTAAGAAAAAGATGCCTAAAAGCTGGAAAATTCCAAGTGCGGCTCATAGCCTCGAACTCAAAATCCAACATGGCTTCCTTGCATTTAGATCCTAGTGAGCGGCCCAAACTGAAAAACTGTTTATCTCTTCAGGTCTTCAAAGAATCCAGGGTAATTAGGTTAGAAATATGCCAGTCATGGGAGTAACTAAAACCATCGAGTAGTACTGAAAATAGTTTTTCATCTCTGAATAGCTTTTGTTTTGACCGAAAGTGTCGACAGTTTTACAAGCTAAATTTGCTTTACCGTAATTCCACGACATTGTGCGCTATCTGAAAAATTCCGACGGTTTCTGAAAGGGAAGACGTTGCCATTTCCAGCCAATATTGGGTTATTACGGTAATTTCTCTCCCTCCGTCATGGGGAGCTTGATTTTCTTCGGCGTAGTCTGATGAGACACTCTTGATAGTTGGTAAATTAACATGGTTGGTATTCAATGTTCCGGTTGTTAGGGAGAAATGGGCAATATCTATTTACTCACAGGACATTTAAATTACTGTGTACAATTAAAATAAGCAGAAATTTCCAGACGGAGAGTTCAAACAGACTCAGAGGGCTAAACTGTGTTGCCACGGCGACCAGAGAGCGCGAGGTGAGCCGCTTCAGAACCGATCCAGAACCCGAACCGGATCAGATCGGGACGTCCCTAAACGCTATGAAAACCACTGGCAGACCAGCAGCCTTTTTATGGAAAGCACAACTGCAGTGAGTTAAAAAAACCACAAACACAGCGCTAGCTTTTCTAACCACGTGCAAAAAGTGCCAAAAGTTCAAAGGTCATCACCTTTAGCTTCATCGCAGGAGCAGCCATGTAACTCTGTTAATGTCTCGACTCATTTCCAGCTAACATGTGCCAAGCTGAGAAAAATGAATGTTTAAAAACATGCATGGTCCCCACGTGTTGCTTTGATTAGATATCTGTTCATTTCCTGTCAAATTAAGCAACATGAAAACATCCCTTCTATGTTACTTTTCCCGTTTTTTATACCAAGCCTTGCTTTGCCAATGCCTGCACCCTGACTTACCAAGAATGTTCCTATTTTTGTTTTATTTTTTTGTTCACACCCTCCTCAATTCCTGCAAATGTGGCTCTTATAAACCTGTTGAAATGCTTTGTAAATTATGATAACAACACATGCGCAAAAGATGAAATCTATTGAAGTATTTTATTTAAAGAGGAAAAAAGAAAAATACATAAAACAGAGAGTTAATTCCTGATATTTATCTGCCTGCAGCTGTTGCAGTCTAATGTTGAGGAGGTTTCCAAGTGAATTATAACTGAAATGAAAATCCTATTTTAAAAATAAAACCAGAAAGTGAACACGTTGTGGCCGTTGTTCTGTTCCATGAGTAATCCTGTTCCTGTGTCTCAGTCTAACCCGTGTCTCCTCCTGCCATTCCCTAATGGCAGCTCCTCCTAAACCAGTGAGTAACTCCTCATCTGTGATTACCAGCTGTCTGTTTCTGCACCTCGGGGATTATTCATATCGCTCATGTCCATTCAGAAAAACACAAGTTTGCACCGCTGAGGAGAAACGAAAGAGAGAAGGAGTTTGCAGTGAGGCTGGGATTTGCATGCAGCCCTTTGTGTCAGCATGTGGAGACGAATCTCCCTGGATTCGTCGGTTCACGATGAGTCAGTGTTTTTAGTCTTTCACAAAGGCGGTTAATGGGCAGAAGCATGAGGTTTTATGAATGATCCCTGTGTCTGTAATACATTTTCCTAATGGTAGTAAGTCTTGTCACATTCATCAGATAGTTTATAATAATTAACACTTATCTTTTCTGTACAGTCAGCTGTGAATCTCAAAGCAAATTTGACAAATGGAGCTGCAACCTGACATGTTCAGAGAGACTATTCTCACTTTTGTTTTAGTTAATGTTTAACTCCAATTTATTCAAAAAGCAGAATACGTTAACACACATGTTGTAGCACCATCTGGTGGACTTATGGTGTAATTTTTGTACTTAAAACCATACAGTTTAGCTACCATTGCAGATGCATCTCACTAAATCAAACGATATAAATTTATTTTATGCTTTAGTAATTCAAATTAAAAAAATACTTTATTAGAATTTTCCAAAGAAAAAATGTATGTTTTTGTAACTCATATTAATTAAAATTCTTCAAACTTATTGTAGACGGTGATGGCGGTTGGCCGTAACGATCTCCTGTACCAGTCTGTATTACTGCGAATTTGAAGAAGCCAGTAATTAACTTTTAAAAAGCAAAACATTTACATTACAAATTAAATCTCACGTACTACATATGAAAACAACAAGGAATCTATTGGGGAAAAGTCACTAAAGGTCGTCAATGACTGTTCGGACTCTCGTTTCCCATCACGTACATGGCATTGATGTGACATCACACTTCACAGCTTTGTAGCTGACAGCCGTCTTGGTAGATACTGTAACTAACTGGCATGACAGTTGCTATGTAGGTGCTATGACATCAATAATGAATGAGAAGAAAGCTTAGCACTAGCTTTCTTCTTCTATTAAACCTAACAACATAAGCAACAAGTACTACTCAGTCACAGTTTTTGAGTACTTGACCCACATCTGTGTAACAAGATAAATTTACTACAGCAGTGCTGATTACAGAACTAGCAAATTATCGTGGCTAATGTAGCTTTTATCTGCTAGCTGAGCTGAACATGGCCTATGTGTTGGTATTTAACCTTGCCAGTCACCAGAAGGGTGTCGTTCATGTGAAGAGTTCAAACGTCCTCTACAAAGTCATTGAAACACTGATTGTAGGATTTCAGGCCATGAAGCTCCTTCATGGTGTACACACTTCTTCGTGTTCACTAAGTAATGAAGCATGTCATAGTAGGAAATCGGACGCAGCATGTTTTCATTCTCTGTCTCTCATGGGTCAATTCCTATAGCAACCATTTTGTTGATAAAGCTTTCTCTTGCACACTGGGTCAGGGTGTCTGTATACTTAGTTTTGTTGGTCTTGAATCCATGGTATCTCTATGGTTTGCATTGCGTTGCTTACACATGTGGTGCAGATCACTTCTGGTTCAGACTTAGTGGAAAGTTGAGTGGAAGGAGAAAGTGTGGCAGAAAAAATTGCTCCACAAGTGACAAGAATGACGGTAGCTTTTGGAGCGTTATGAAACAAATTCCATGTAAAAGTTTAGGAGAGACTTGCGACCGTCTCAAAAATGGCTGTAGAGTGGTACCAACGCCCCCAGAACTCTGCATGGGAAAGCAGAGAGGTATGGCAGGCTGGCTGGATGGAAGTTTGGGAGAAATCCAGCTGTAGTCAGGGCTTCACAGACCTATCCAGGTCATGGACTAGAACTGTCACATTTCTCCTCTGCTGCACCAGAAGCAACATCCAAAGTGTCTCATCTGGGTCAAGGAGGATAATGGCTAGAGAGGAAGTCAGTGGGAACAGATTGGATTTCATTTTTTCAAATGAAAGTCTCAAAGTATGGAGGAAGAGTTGAGAGGCACAGAGTCCATGCTGCCTGAAGTTCAGATTGACGTTTCCACAGTCAGTGGCCAAACTGGGCTGACCGGAACCTAACAGTGGATCATGGATAATGTAAAGGAGAGAGACACCAGAACACTGCAGGCAACCTAAATGACACAAGCACCTCAGCAGAGCCACAAGATGATGAGTAATTTCTTGGATGGCTACTTTTCACTTTTACTTGAGTAGAAATGTGTTGAAGCAGTGCTGCTCCTACTTGAGAACAAATTTTCCCTGCTACTCCAAACTAATTAAAGCAAAAGGAGCCACTGCTGAGTGCATGCCCTGTCCTCTTTTGCTCTGCAGTGAGAGATTTGACACGCCAGCTCATGTCTGCACATTTCCAGTTAACTACAATCATCCCACTGTTGCCAACACAATGCTTTTCTTGATATATTTATCAACATTTCAGACAAAGGAAAAATAGTCAGTATCGGCCAAAATGCAGAATTGGAAGGTCAGGCTTGTTTAAGATTGATTGTCTACAAAATTCCAATTGGTGCACCCCGATTCATACTTATTAAATCATTAACAGAAATAAACTGTTGACATATATCACTCTACATGCAATGAACCCAGTGAATTATTAAAATCAGTTTTTTTATGAATATCCTGATTTACTGAAATGCATCTGTTCATAGGTAAAAATTGGTGACACTTTATTTGAAGGGGTGTGCATAACACAGATATGACACTCATGAACGCGAAGGAGTCTCTTTGTTTTCATTAAAACAGTCAAACGATTATATTTTCAATGCAAACTAAGCATTGAAAGTGTCAATATTTATTAAATAATGCAATGTTGACACTTTTAATAGACTTTTAACACACTTTTAATTCAAGTTTTCACTTTAATGTCATTATTTACTGAATAATGTAGTTAATTGCATTATTCATTAGTCATAAAAATTATGAAGACTCTTTTATGGGTGTTATGTTCATGTCACACTCCTTCAAATGAAATGGTACCAAAAATCCAGCCCAAACAAAGATCTTACCCTAATTTTGACATATTAAAAGTAAATGTTTACTTTTTGAACTGACATTCTCAGGAGATGTTTTTAGACCGTCACTGTGTTTGATTTCTATTTCCCTCTGGTCCTGAACCTCTCCTGTATGCCGCGCCCTAACCTCTCCTGACCAACCCAGACTCTGACACACAGCACAGCATGTCGGACGGGGAGGAGCAGCTGGACCGCCTCCAGCAGGCCGAGCTCACCCGCACCACCTGCATGTCCCGCTGGAGGGCGGGGGCCGTGCAGGCCTGGATGGAGGTGGTCATGGGGATGCCCATGTACATCCGAGCCTGCTCAGAAAATGTCAAAAGTGGAAAGGTTTGCCTTTTCTTTCACTTTTAGCGCCTTTCTTTGTGTCTTTGGTGGATTTAAGCTAGCATGAGCAGCCTTTAAGAGATGGCTTTGGGGCTGTTTAGGTGCTGCTGAGCCTGACGGATGAGGACCTGGAGCTGGGTCTGGGCATCGGGAATCAGATCCACCGCAGAAAGGTTCGGCTGGCCATTGAGGATTACAGGAGAGCAGAGGGGGAGCAGGGGTGAGCAGACGTTGAGATTTTAATGCTTCAGCTAACTTTACCCGTGAGAATTACAAGATAAAATCGTCATTCAAAGCTACTTTTTTCTAGAAGTCATGTTTCAGCTGTTATTGGTCACTTCTGTTACGCAGTGACGTTACGGCGGAGGCTTCGGTTGACGTTCCTGGACGTTTAAATGAACTTTTCGTATCCTAGCAACAAGACAAGATAAAACCAGATCCGTTTTAGCACGCTTCAAAATAAAATACTTTCCAAAATAAATCATGTTTGGCATTTAAATAGATTTCATTTCACCTTTTAAAATTATACTATTACACATTATGTGAATAAGGGGAAATTATAAATTAATATTTGTTTTACTGGTTTTCATTCATGATTTCTTTTAGAAGTTATATTAACAATTAATATTTTTATTGAGTGAATCAAATAAAAATAAAATGGAAGTGAAATTAATTTATATAATCATCTTAAATTAAGTGAATAATCATGTAAATGATACTTAACATATAGCTGTAGATAAGTCAACATTTTGTATATGGAGCACAGATGCTGTCAAATTGTGTGTAAGTACAAAAATGTAAAATTCACAATTTTCTATGACAGATGGAGGCTAAATATTCAAAAGGATAAAACAGCTTACTCTTCCTGTACTGCATTCAGCCTTCCTATTATTTCTAAAATTCTAGGTCTCTCTCACTTTAAATGCTGAAAATAGAAAATACAGTTTGCTTTTAAGCAGCTTCTTACTCCTCACTGGAGCTGAACATGAAGCTGGTTCATCAATAATGAGCTTATTTATGTCCTTGTGAAACTTAATAATATTCTAATATGCTGCACTTCAGTCTGTTGGCTGTTTGACTCTGATTCATTAGGTGCCATAAATAGTTTAGTCTCCAATCTGTGTCTTGCCGTCCCCAGACTTTCTAAAGCATCTGAGCTGGACCATCATTGGGTCTCGACGTCGTGGCTGAGTGACGTCGGTCTGCCTCAGTACTCCCAAACCTTCCAGACCAACTTAGTGGACGGTCGGGTGCTGAACTCGCTCAGCCGCAGAGACCTGGAGAGATTCCTGAACATCGGCGACTATTTCCACCAAACCAGTCTGCTTCTGGCTATCCAGCTCCTGCAGATGCTCAACTTCGACAAAGAGGTCAGGTCATGGACTTTGCTACAAAAAAATCACATAACTGTAAAGCAGACAGGAAATTTAGCCAAAAAGATGATGATTAAATATTTAAATCTGTCAATCCTTTAAAATTCAAGAGTCAAGAACCAAAGTTTTAATTTTTAATTCACGTTTTTGTTTGTTGGGTGCAAGAAATAAAATTATACCAATGTGTCACCAAAGCCTGACCAAAAGTTGATTAAATACATTCTTAAGAGGTCACTATTCTTTCTGTCCTGTGGTTTTTTTTGGGGGGATGGGGTTTCCAAGGCCCTGCAATTACGGCGCTTAAAATGTGAGCATGAAAACCGGGACCCGCTCGTCTGGACGTGTCACAGAGTGATGAAGTGGATCAAGGACATAGACCTCAAGGTAGGAGCAACCCATCACACCACCATTGTTTTGTAATTGTAGACCTTCACAGGATATTGAAACTTATTCACCTTTGTGATATAGATGCAGCTCTGGAAAAAATGAAGAGTTTGCTTGTAATTTCAAAGACATATTGTCAGTTAATAGAATAAAACAATAATCATTTAACTCAAACATATTCCTATCAAAAGTAAAATCAGAGAAACTGATCATTTTAAGTGAGCTCTTAATTTTTTCCAGAGCTTTATTTCATGTATCTGAATCTAAAGTGTAAATGTTAAACTTTTCATCTCCCACAATAAATAAATACTGGATTTAAAGCTTTCTTTTCCTGGTTTGAGCACAGTGACATCACTGTGTTGTTTATTAGCATCAAAGACATTTTTATTTGACTCCTTTCTTCCTCATTTTCATTCTTCCTCATTTTTCTCTGTAGGAGTTTGCAGAAAACCTTCAGGGAAAAGGCATTCATGGTGCAGTGATCGCCCTGGACCAGTCCTTCGACACAGAGGCCTTGGCCAATGCTCTGGGAATCCCCAGCAACAAACACATGCTGCACAGACACCTGTATGAAGAAATGAAGTCACTCTCTGCCCCTCTCAGGTAGCATAAACACTCTGCCCCCTGCTGGTGACATTCATCTCTTCAGCACTGTGCAGTAAATGAATGATTTATTAACATTGCTGCAAGTCTGGAACTTGCCATAAACACTCTTGCGTTGTTAATCTCTGACACATAAATGACTAACAGTCTCCTTCCTCTCTGTTTACAGTAACACAGAGCAGGGCTCTGAGGTTATCAGCTCTTCTTCACCTGTGGCGGTTAACCGCTTTGCTGATGAAAGGTCCTCCATCAGGAGATTAGGAAAGGTAACTTGTCATTTCTCACCTATCGGTAAACAACTCGCCCAGCGGTGTGAAGTCCAAAGCTGAAGCCACTGGTTCCTTTTTGCTTGTTAAAGCACAAACATTGCTAACAAGGGTTCAATAAAAAATAAGCATCTCAACAATTTGATTTTAGGACATTAGCTCAAAACCCACAATGGCTTTAATTTGCAGACTGGAGTCAGTTTCTTTGTTTCAGCAGCAAGAACATAATCTGGAAATACCTCACTGTTCCTCAAGAACATTTACACAGCACAATTAGTGCTTTTCATCCATTAACCTTTTAGAATAATTAAACGGAAGAATAAATGAGAAACAGACATAAACATAATTTTGGAAGGTCATTTTGAGTTTCTGAAATACTGCAGAGTTAGAAATGCACCCAGTTCACCTCACTCTCTTTAAGTCATTTCTAATTTCCACATTTAATATAAATACATATATTTTTCTTTTTGTGTCAAGTAAAAGAAAAATAACAGGCAAAGACCTTTTCAGACACAAACCAATTGAAATTAATACAATAAGCTTTTCATTTCACCAAAAAATTCCCCAATAGTTTTAGCTTGAAATATCAAGTCTGTCAACAGAAGGATTGAGCTATTATCAGATGATTCTGCTAATTAATTATTTTTACCATTCAGTTGCATTTTATATAAGTTTTGCTCTGATAAAAACCTTTCCAACCCAAGGCTGATGACCCACTCTGCTGCTCAGGTGAGCTTCTGCAAAGTAGAACAAAATGTCCCCAGTGGTTTGGTGAAATGGTGAGAAGGTCCCAGATGCAAGATGGAGGCATGAAGGCAGACTTATATATAACTACAATAGTAAATAAAAAACATACAGAAATTCACAACAGGGTGTGGGGAAATCCAAAAAAAGATGTTAAACCAAGGAGGATGACTGACTGACAACAGCAGAGAGACATCTGAAACCAATGTTGAGGAAGATTCTTGTTACACTGCAAAAAACACAAAGCTTACCAAGTATTTTAGTCTATTTTCTAGTAAAAATATTTGTTTTACACTTTAAATAAGACAAAATTCACTTTCAAGTAACTTTTCAGCAAGATTTAATTTGTTTTAAGCCAATAATTCAATAATATGCAGTTCCAATGGCAGATTATTTCATTTCTAACATGGTGAAAATCTTTTTGTTAGAAGTGAAATAATCTACCAGTGGAACCACAATGTTTTCGCTGATGTTAAAACAAACTCCGATGTTGTGCTGAAGTTACTTGTTAGTTTTGTCTTTTAAACTGTACTAATATTATTTGTTCTAGAAACTCGACTATAGTACTTGGAAACATTGGTACGTATAACTTTCACTACTATTACCACAACTCCACAGTATTCAAACACAACTTTAAAACATAAATGGACAACGTCGTGTAACTGCTTTTATCTAAAACAGAGAAGACAAACAAAATCCTTATTAAATAAATATTTTTTTAATTTAATTACAATTTTCTCTCTTCGGTAAGAAGTCTTTTTTTTTCAGGCAGCTGACCAGCAGTCTCCAGCAACAGGTTGGGGAAGGACTGCGTTGAGTCCGGCGAAACCCCCCAAATAAACAGTTTAATTTCTTGTGTCATCTTCTCAGAGTCCGCTGAGGTTACGCGCAGAAAGTCACTCTGCGGAGCGCGGCCTTGGTTTCCATGGCAACTGCGGCTCTCTGCCCAGAGAGGCCAGAGTTCACGCTGTTCCCCGCGCCAAAGGAAGCCCCATGCACACCTTCAAGAGCGTGGAAATCACCAACGTGTGAAGGAGAGGTGGTCTCTGTTTACAGCGTGGTGGCGTTGCCGGCTCTTTTAAAGGTTTCGCTAACGTTATTCTGTAGATCAGATCTACGTCTGGAGGCGGACATGATGCACCTGATGTGGCCGTTGTACATTAGTGAGTTGTCTAAAGTCTTTTTTTTTAAGTTGTAGTTTTTTGATTGAGGTTTATATGTAAATAATAAAAACAAGCAGAAATCATAAAAAAAAAATAACTCAAAACTGCACTTAGTGCTCCTGTGATGCCTTATGTAAAGTCTCATGATCTCAGTGGTTCTGTCGACTTCTTTATGTGAACTGAGGTATGTTGTTTTGTTTACATAAAACTTGTTCATGTTTCTACATTTACAGATTAGAACAAATGTTAAGGACTTTTACATTGGGTTCATAATGTTGTTTAAAAGTCTGTTTACTTCTCTTATTGTGCCATGCTTGCTAGAAAAATTAATTTGTGGATTGAGCTGTGGCCCTGATAACTTTCCATATCCCCCCTCACAATGCCAATCCTATTTATTACATATGATTATTGAAGTTTGGGAAAACCATGAAAAATGCCAAATTAATAACTTGTTCTTACACTGCAGTGGGACGCCTTCCTATTCTTCAACAAGGATTTGTTTTAGGCATGAACCCAAATCAAACCCAGTTCAGTTCAGTTTACTTACAGTATGTAGCAGAAAGTCACAAAATGAGAGTTCAGTCCAACCATAGAGAGTTTCAGTCTCTTAGATCAACATGTAGCGACAGTCATTCACATTGTGACGCAATCTCTTCTGCCGAGCATGCATGTAGGGACAGTGGAGAGAAAAAAAACTCCCCTTCAACGACCATGACTGAGTGGCTCATTTGAAACGCATACACACAACAAAGAAACAAGCACTGATCCCGGAGTACTTCCTATGTCAAAAGTAAAAAGTTAAAGGAAGTTGTAGCTTTTTAGTGGCTTCATCTCGGGGGAAACAAGTCTCAACAGATAAGATCTGAGTCGGTTTTAATTGAATTTAAAAGCAAAAGCTCATTCAATAGCGTCGTCTAGGAGAGACAGAGTTAAACACAGAAAGACGGGCAGGTTTATCATCTGTAGAGAATGTTTAAGTGTTGGCAGCAATATCTCAGCCAAATCGAGCTCCAGACCAGGTGTAGCGTCTATGAAAAGTGAAAAACAGAAAACATGAAGCTAAAAGCTGAATTAGCAGCAAGTAGTGTAGAATTGGAGAGTGGTAGGAGAATGTAGCAGCTAGAATGATGAAATGTGGTCATTACTGTATGTCTTCCAGTAGCTGAAACCTATAGTAGCATAGTCAAAGAGATAGCTCAGGGAAAACTAAGTTGTTCTAAATATAAGCTTTATCAAAAAGGAATGTTTTAAACCTGGAAAATTAATAAATCTGTCTAATTTTTAATAGATATAGAGACTAAACAGGTGACTAGCCTGATAACTAAATGATCTGCCTCCAATTTTACTGCACTGAATAACCTTAAGTGAGGTTTTAAATGCAGGCTGTTTCATACTCTCCTCTCCCAAATTTGGGCTGTAGAGTCCAAAACCCTGGCTCTGTTGGGGTGAGCATTGACATCTTTTAGGATAGATGTCACTTCCTTCGAGAGGAGAAACACCAGGCAAACCAGTGGCTTGTCACTGGTTTCAGACTGAATCCATTGATGACAAACTTTGTTTTTTAATTGCGGGAGGTCATCACACTGCCTCTGATTGAACCGACATACTGAGCTTTGCCGCTTAAACCCACAAATGTTCACACTGCAGCCTGGAGTGACACAATTCACTTTTTGCTTCCTTCCCTGACCTGTATCTGATCTGTTCATGATCTGTTATAGACACAGATCAGGCCATTGGATTTCCAATTATCTTTTTAAATGTGACCTGAACCCCAACGTCATTGATTCTCCACAAACGTCACTATTCTGCGACAGGAAACGCGCAAGAAGGGAGAAAAACCAGCAAACCTGGCAGACAATAATGAGGATTAAGTTGTTAACGTGCTGGTTCCGGTCGGTTTTAAAACTTAAGGTTCAAGATTTTTAACAAATTTGAAATCGTAAGCTATGCTCCACCGTTAGCATGCGCGGTTACTTCCGCAAACACTGAGCATGCGCTCAACGTGTGACGTCATTGCGCCCTCCACTGCGCATGCGGGACACTTTCAAGTCGTTTGCGGTTGAGGTCGAGATCAAGTCGCATTTATTCGGGAGCGTGAACGACCGCAAAATCAAACAAAAACGATTTGACAAAAACATCGGAGTTGGGTCATTTCTGGCTGCAGTGTAAAAGTAAAAACCCAAAACGCATCAATTTAATTCAAAGCACAATAAGGAAGGTCTTTTCAACCCTTGAGTTGAAGGACATGGCAACTTAAAACAATAAAAAGGACCAGGCCAGAATCTGGCCATTTGTTGACCATTTTGGTAGATATTCACCCCAGATAGATCAATCGCTAGTTTTAAATATTGGTGCTGCTCAGAGCATTACTGTTGATGATTAGTAATTATTATGATCCAGCATGTCTAGTCTGACAACTGAAAAGCTACAGAAACTGATGTAAATGTTTACGTAAGAATTGGCCGAAACTAGAGCATAAACTGCAAAGCAGGCCAACACCCTGCTGCCGTGGATTATGCTCTTTGTTGTTTAATTAATAAGTTTACCAAACTAGAATATTTCAGTCCACATAGGTTTCAAATTATCTTGTTGTAAATGCACAAAGCTTCTCAAAGCAACAATCCCTCAAGCATAAACTTCTTATGATATATTTTCTATAAAAGTGGGTTAAATACAAAAAGCAAAAGCAGATTTTTGAATTGTAATTCTCTAAAAGCAATCAATTAATTACGAGCCATGTTTTGTCATCTACATCTGCACTATTTTCCTTATTTTATTTTGTTTTTTGCTTAGATTTTTTAGACATAAAAAATTGCAACATTTCCCGTGAATGGACTGAAGATAATTAAAGTCAAAGCGCTTTGGTGTGATTTTTTTACCGCCTGAACTCATTATGTGCTTTATAAGAACTCAAATCAGATGACAATTTAAACTTGATCAGAATTAGAAGGCATAAATGTTCAAAACTGAAGGTTCTGTTCAAACTTTAAGAACAACCACATTCAAAAGCTAACAAAAAAATAAAACAATCTGATCCAAATCCAACACTAAAATCTACAACGTAAGAACTAAATGGATGACAGTGAAGTGATAACAGATGATTAAATATTATGATAAATACTTGCTTAAGAACCACAAGTATTAAGCAAGTATACTTGCAAGTATAGACTTTGTCCTGCTGACAAAGTCCTGTCAGCCGGACTTTGTGATTTACATGAAGTGTTTTCAGGACTCGTTTCTGAAGGTCTTTCAATGTGATTTAGACTTTGGCTGCTATAAAATTGTAAAAACTCTTAATCTGAAGGGACGAACCAGCGTGATGGTTAAAAATAACAAAACTTTTACATTTGACTGTAATGTTCTGTGTAATATGGGTCCAAACTTACAAGATTGAAAGAAATTCAATTAAATTTCCCATGCCGTTGTTTTGGTGCAAGACCTCCAATATCGGGATCAAGGGTGTGGAAGTCAGCTTTCCGCTGAGTCAGCACAGTGTATTTACCCACTTTCCTCAGTTTATAATCAAATATTAGTATCATGATGGTCACGTAGAGGACTCGGGAGAACATGAATATGAATGAAGCCAAAGAATAAAGAAAAACTATTGATCAAGACCTTCAGGCTTCTCTGATGCAAAGTATAGAGATATCAGGGGTATATTTTTACATCTGCATAATTTAATATGACAGTCTTTCTTTTCTAAATCTATTTTAGTCCACCTTCTCTTTGCTCTTATCCAGTAAAGGCTAATTATTGTGTTTTTGCACAAATGTAAATTATAATAACATTTTCTCTCTGAATTTGATGTTTGCCAGCTGATAAATTTCACGGTTGTTTGGTTATAAAAAATTCTAATGTATAAACCTGAATGTTCTTTACATCCTTAATAAAAGCAACACTGCTGATTTATTAATAAATGGGTTGCAGAGTTGGATTTTGCTTGCATATTTGTGAAAATATGAAATGCTGTCAGCCCACGCTGCCCCCTCATGTTCTACAGAACTGGTTTGGCTGCCAGATCCGAGGCGTCGCCTCCGGTCACAAAGCAAAAACTGTCTAAGCAGGAAGATCGGACGAGTTCGAGCCTGTTCACAGGGATAAGCGAGAAGGATTTCACATTGTATGGGTTTTTTTTTTTACACACAGATTAACATGAACTATGACTTTAATGGTCCTCTCCAAACTGTCAACAGCTCTACATATTTTGTACATGATGCAATAAATCCACCAACAGTACAAACTAAATCCTAAAAGTTGGTGTGAACTTAGCACATGTTTACAACAAGGTGTAAATCTATCTTTGTAACCTGCAGTTATGTGATTTACATCTCAAACCACCACATCCCAAACTTTCACATTATGATCAGGGGCCTCATGCATAAAAGAGTGCTGAAGAGTTTTCACACTAAAACGTGGCGTACGGAAAAATGTAGAAAAATCGGAATCATAAAGCTGTGCGCACCTTTCCTTTATGAATCCTAATTTGAGGGAAGTAGAGCTCAGCTGCTGGTCGCCCTGTAGCCACCCATAAGTAAATTAATATAAAAACCCAGAAGTCTGACACCACGAAGCAGTGACCATGCTAACGTCTTTGTTTGCAGTATTAGTATTTATAATGATAATACTGTTTCTAAACAAATAAGCTAAAGAGCGACTAATCAAATTTCTTTTCTGGTCTGAAAGTGAGTATGCCACAGTTTCTAAATAATGACTGATAGGTAGGATGAAAAAGGCAACATTGGGTAGGATGAGGCTCATATAACAAGATAAAAACAAAGACATGCTGGCAAAGGCGTTCAGGTCGGGGAGTTTACTAAATATATTAAAGTGGGCTGCACAGCGGCGCAGTTGGTAGCGCTGTTGCATTGCAGCAAGAAGGTCCTGGGTTTGATTCCTGACCCGGGGTCTTTCTGCATGCGGTTTGCATGTTCTCCCTGTGCATGCGTGGGTTCTTTCCAGGTACTCCGGCTTCCTCCCAAAGTCCTGCATTGCCCTCTGAC